AGGGAGGGTAGGGACAAGGGGAAAAAATGAGAACCATGACGTGTCATGTAGAGGTACAAGATCCCAACAATGAATGCAACTGTACTGTATCCCTAAAATGTACCAATAAACTCAATTAAAGCTGAAAAAAAAAATCAAATAAGTGGGCCAGGGATTTAGCTCAGTGGTTCTACGCCTGCCTCACAAGAACAAGGACCCAAGTTCAATTCCCGGTACCAAAAAAAAAAAAAAAAACCAAATAAGCACTAGTAAATACAATTATAATGGAGGATCTCAATACCCCAAGTAACAAATCAACTAGACAAAAATATCTACAGAGAAATACCAGAACTGAACCAAATTTTTGAACAAAAGGACTTTCTAGATGCCTACAGAGTGTTCCATCCTACAACATTAAAATAAAAATTCTCAGCTACATATGGGATCCTCTTCAAAACAGACCACATACTATCTCATGGAACAATGAGTAAATGCAAATTAAGTAAATGCAAAGAAATTGAAATTATTTCATGCATATTACCAGACCATAATGGTGCAATGAAATTGTAAATCATTGCAAAAGAAACCACAAAAACTTCATAAACACATGGAAAACTTCAATAACACCCTCTTGAAAAACCAGTGGGTCACAGATAAAGAAGAAATACAACATTTTGGAACTTATGGGATGCATAACTCCTCTGAAGGAAATTTATCACGGTGAGGAGAGTTCAAATAAACAACGTAATGTTCAACCTGAAGCTTCTAGAAAAAGAAGAGCCATATGAAGGAAGAAATTGTAAAGATCCAAGCAAAAATTAATGTAATGGAGACTAAGAAAACAGTAGAAAGTATCAGTGAATCAAAGAGTTGGTTCTTCAAAAGATTAAATAGAAAAACCTTTAGCCAGCTTTATCAAATGAAGGAAATAAAAGACTCAAGTCCATGCAATTAGGAATGAATAGGGCAAAAAAAAAAAAAAAAAAAAAAAAAAAAAGAATAGGGCGAAATCATGACAGATCCTGCAGAAATTGAGAAGATCATGAATACTTACAAGAACCTGTATTCTAATAAGATGGAAAAGGAAATGGACAGATTCCTAGATACATATGAATCACCAAAACTGATTCAAGAAGATAGAAATATTCTAAATAAACCAATATCAGTCAGTGAAACTGAAGATGTAATTAAAAACCTATCAGGGCCAGGGATTTAGCACAGTGGTTCCACCACCTACCTTGCAACTGCAAGGACCTGAGTTAGATCCCTGGTACCAAAAAACAAAACAAAACAACAAAACAAAAACCTACCAACAAAGAAAAGTCCAGGTCCTACCAAGACCACCTGTCATGTAAAGATCCCAATAGTGAATGTAACTGTACTATATACCTAAAATGTACCAATAAACTCAATAAAAGAAAAAAAATTAATTAAATAAAAAAGAAAGTCCAGGTAGGTCCCGACAGATTCACGGCTGAATTCTACAAGAAATTTAGAGAAAACCCAATGCTGCTACACTTAAACTCTTTAATGAAATTGAATGGAGAGCAATACTCAAAAAGTCATTCCTGGAAGCAAGTATGACCCTGATACCAAAACTAGAGAAGGATCCAACAAAAGAAGAGAACTAGATGCCAGTCTCTCTAATAAACACAGACACAAAAATTCTCAATAAGATACTGACAAACAGAATGCAGCAAATCATCAAAAAGATTATATACTATGAGCAAGTAAGTTTCGTGCCTGGGATGCAAGGATGGTTCAACTTATGCAAATCAGTAAGTGTAATACACCATATTATCAGAACCAAGGACAAAAACCATATGATCATCTCAATAGATGCAGAAAATGCATTTGACAACCCTACTAACCACTCTTTTTGTCATTAAGATACAGGAAATAGAGGTGGATTCAGCTCTCCAGGGTAAAACTCAAAGCTCCTGAGACACCAGAAGACAAAGGAGAACCATGAACTTCATATACCTATGAACCAGTAGACAACCTCAGATTTCTTTACAGGAGAAAAAACACCAACCACTGTTGTGATCCAGATGGATAAAATGGTTTGCCCCTTCTCAGAGTGTGTGAACAGTTTCACTACTTTGTCAATAATTAGTATACTTATTAAAATAATAATAGTTGTACCTAATTCATAAAAGGCCATGGACAAATACATCAGAGTGCATGCATTCTGGTTTATAAACAGTTGTCTTATGTGTGCTTGTCTGTCTGTCCAATTTGTGCTAATGACCAGTCACAACACGTACAGCTGTCTTGAGTTCAACATTCTCCTTTTTGCCTTTTTGGGGCTTTCCATGGAAAATAATTTTTATAGGTTTAAATATTTATGTCAACAACTGAAATTGGCTTATAGACAAAATAATTGTCATTAAAGTCAAGGACATACTTTCATGTGGGTTGCCAGCCAATCAAAATGATGTCAAAACTGGTTTTACAAATGCAATGCCTGTTGTTGTCTATATACAATCACTTAGGAGACTTTCATTGGTCAAAAATAATGTTGGGCCAGGGATTTAGCTCAATGGTTCTGCCACCTGCTTTGCAAGTACAAGGTACTGAGTTTGATCCCGGGCACCAAAACAAAACAAAAAATAATGTTAATTGTTATGATCTAGTTCTTATAGTTCATTTAAAAACAGAAAAATATTCTGTTAAGATAACTAAATGGGGAGCCCTTGGGCTTGAGAAAACCTCCCTCCTTCAAGATCAAACAGACTCATGAGGAGCAGTGGCTATACAACATCAGAGGAGACTAGATCTCCTAACAGCTGAAACATGGGGGCTATGTTTGTCCCTTAAAGGAATGTGTTACTTCCTTCTTTCAATAGGTCAAAAATAACGCCAAACTACTGGTGGTAACTCATAATTCAAGATCAAAATCTGCTTCCATGTCCACAGTTTATCAAGAAATCTTCAGAGGATGGGCTCAGCTCCCTCACACTCCTAGAATAGTCAGGGTGAGGGTTCCCTGGTCCCTGCATAGGGAGGACCAGTCAGCCAGAAGTAGCTACAGAAGATGGACCTTCCTCTCTCAACTCCCCTTAAAGATTTTTGGGGACCAGGGCTCTCAGAGGGGAATAGTACAGTTAGAAACAAAGGAACTGTTTGTTCCCTTCCCTTAGTTCAACTGTAAATGCCACACCACCTTAATGATTATCCATACTTCCATAATCCAAAGACAGCGAAGTTGGCTAAGCTAGTTTTCTCCATTCAGCAATAAACCAAACACCACCCTAATAAATATCCACGCTTACACGTGGGAGGTTGCACAGATTGCTGACATCAGGCAGAGAGATAATGGGAGGCCCCTTGGATTAGTGGTATCTGCCCCTATAGAAAATAGAAGCCTGAGTTATCAAGGCCCCCTTTTTCCCTTTCACACTGAGGCCCTTTTTCCCCTTTACACTCAAGTCCCTTTGCCTTTATCTCTGTTTCTGCTCCTACGCCATGATCTGCTTACTCCATACTATAAGGTACATTGCGTTCATTGTCATTCTCAAGAAACTGAGCTATTTTTGGCCCATTCAACTGTAACAATATCATGTCTACTATTTAGTCTATTTTAGTTCAGAAGATGTGTGGCTGGGTGTGGTGTAATCCCAGCACTCAGGAGGCTGAGACAGACAGCCTGGTCTACACAGTGAGTTCAAGTCCAGCCTGAACTACATAGTGGGAACTTGTTTCAAAATACCAAAAAAATAAAAATAAAAAAGACACAATATAAAGTAAATTGTGTTACTGTCTGGTGAAATATGCTTACCAAGCATGGTACCACTTTGGGAAACCTAAGTGAAAAACGTATAGTAATACTTTATATTATATATAAATTTTATAGCGTTTCTATAAGTCTTAAATTATTTCAAAATGTGAAAGTATTGTATCACCAGGATTCAGAAATAAGCCTAAAAGGATTCTCACAAGCCAAGCCAGGAGCAATTCAGGCGCCAAAATTGATTAAATACAGTAGTGACTATAAACTATTAAAAACATACAAATTTATACTGATAGTAGATAATAAAAGGAGAGGTCTCTTTTGAGGTCTAGTGGAGGGAGTAAATTCTATTTCAATAAGTCTATTTTTAAAATGTGACCCATGGATGAACAGATAACCAAATGTAGTATATGAATCCCAGCTAATGAAACAGTATTCAGTCTAAGAAAAGAAGTTCTGTCACATGCTACAGTATGAATGAAACTGGAGTGTATTATGCTAAACAAACTGCCTTGTCACCAAAAAAAGTATTACTGAATATCTAAAGTTATCAAACTAATAAAATAGAGATTAAAAGACTATACACAGTAAAATAAGAGTAACCAGAGACTGAAAGAAGAGGAAAAGGGGGTTATTATTAACAGGTACAGTTTCATTCAGATTTAGAAGGTGAAAAAGTTCTGAAACTGTTTCATAAAAATGTGAACACGTAAGTGACATTACAAAACATTACTTTTTGGGTTTTTTTGAGACATAGTCTCGCTATGCAGTATAGACTGATGTTGAACTCAATATGTAGCTCAGACTGGCCTTTGAACTTGAGAGAAATCTCAGAAGAGATTTTTTTCTTTTTCCAGTGAGACAAGTGGCTTCTCCAGACTTCCTCAGGACTAGAGCAGAAAAGCCCCCACCCCCAGTCTCTCAGCCCAGAGGAATGGATGGAATATGCAGATGCTGGCACCAGGAGGTCAAACCCAGTTTCACTCCCTAAACAAGAGAGGGAAAGGTCTGATGGAATTAGCCTGAAAATCTGTATTGTTCCATTGTATTCCCTCTCACATTACTTCTTACTATAAAAGACCCTTGCCCACCTCTATATGATGAGATGGTGATTTCAGGCAAAGGGACACCCCCATCTTCTCAGAGCTATCCTTGAATAAATCCTTTTATCTTTTTTACCCAGATACATGACCTTCTTTGATTGGGTCAGCAATGAGCAAATGACTTGAGTGTATGAAGCTAAGTGGCCTATAAAATTAATACAATGGGAAAGAAAGAAAGAACTTACATTTTGTTAAATTCTTTGGACTCTTCAAAGGCACTGGCATATTATCAGTGTGTTCTGATCCTTTTTGAGGAATCCAGCCTGAGGGAAGGGAAGAAGGGATTATCCATCATTAATGAAGCAGGAAGTAATATCAGGAAAATAAGAAAAGGTTATTTTATTTTATTTTTTTTTTTGTGGTACTGGGGATCGAACTCAGGTCCTTGTGCTTGAGAGGCAGGCCACCGAACCGCTGAGCTAAATCCCCGGCCCAAGCAAAGTTTATTTTAAAAAGGTCTAAGTACTCCATTCTGTACCAGGGTACGACTCTGTAGTATAAGAGGTATAAAAGACTGAAAGTTTACCTACAGATACGTATTTTACTTAACCATCTAAGTGATTTTTTCAAAGTGGTTTTCTAATAAACGTACAGTTAAACAAAAACTGCAGATCAGGTCTAGAAAGAAGTTCCTAAGCAATCAGTAAGAGAAGGCCTAAAAATTAGAACATTAAAACCTGTGAATGTATTTATACTGTTGGGCTCAGTAACTTAATTCCTAGAAATTTATTTATAAGAAAATAATTCAACCAAAGGAAAAGTACATTCATGAGTACAGCATTGTAACTATGAAGAAGTAGAAAAAATAAGGAAGGAAGCAGGTTATGGCACATAAAGTGACAAAATGTTACGTAATTTTAAATGTCATTATGAATACTTCTACATAATCACAGGGGAGTATTTGCTACAACATAAAAGAACATTTATGCTGTAACTGAAACATAGTACCAGGAATTGAGATTCTCCTACCTAATCACTTCTTTGTACAGCAGAGATTGAGTCTCAAGTGTAGTTGAAAAGTCTCCAAGACTTTTGTTGAAATGTAATTGCCATCCTGACACTATGGAGAAGTGGAACCTTTAAGAGGTGACTGGATGGATTAATGCATTATCGTGGGACTTTCCTTGTCACAGGAGGGGGCTCCTGGTTAAAAGGTAAGTTAGCCCCCATTCTTCCTTGCACAAGTGTCTGTTTGCGCTTCAATCGTGTGCCACGACATCATGTTCTTCAACTTCCCATCCTCCAAAATAATGAGCCAAAGCTTATACTGTTTATAAATGACCCACTCCATAGTACTTTGTTATGGCAGTAGAAAACACAGATGGGGTTGAGACAGGAAGGTAGGGGTTGGCTAAACCTGGTAAAGAAGGTGTGACAAGTTATTGGAACACATGTGCAAAACATTTCCCAAAACCCTGCATGTGGACTTCTCAAACTGAGACCTGAATAAGCTAAAGTGATTTCATGCTCATAGGCAGAGACTGTGCTTCTTCATATGCTAATTGCTACCTGGTTAACAGCCTGCCCCTGGGGCAAATGGTATGACAAAAGGTGACCATGGAATATTTCCTGCATAAGATAAGCAGTGTGTTTGAAATCTTGTCCTCTGATAGTTCTGTGAATGGCCTGACCTATGTTTGAACTTTTTTGTTTAGAAAAACCCTATAAGACAACCTCAGCCCCTGAGCAGTTGCCTCTCTGAGCTACTTGGCTCCAAGAGTGCCACCTGGCCAGACTAATAAAGGTCTGTTTACCATCTAGCCTGGTGTGTTCCTTCCTGGGTGACTCTCTCGTTACTCTGTTACTCCATCGAGCTCCTGGGGCCTCGCTGAGCTATAGATCCCAGCATCGTGAAGGCCTTTTCGGCTGTTCAAGGTTTCTGGAAGTAAGGCCTAGGTCTTGTGTCCGGAGCCCTCGTTGGGCTATAGGACTCAGCATCGTGGAGGCCTTTTGGCTGTTCATGCTCCACGGAGTGGAAGTGAGACCTTAGGTCTTACAAAGCAAGTTTTTGTTTTGTTTTGTTTTGTTTTTTTGAGACAGAGTCTCACTAGGTAGTTGAGACTGACCTGGAACTCACTATGTAGCCCAGGCTGGTCTTGAACTCACAGCGATCCTCCTGCCTCAGCCTCCGAAGTGCTGGGATTACAGGCATGCGCCACCATGCCCGGCTCAAGCAAGTTTTTGATAGGATGGCCTAGACATGATGTTAGCCTTAGGAGTGGGTGATATAAAAGGACAGTCGATATTCAGTTTTTTGTCTTTGTTTTTGGTTTTTTTTTTTTGGGGGGGGTACTGGGGATCGAACTCATTCCCTTGCGCTTGCAAGGCAGGCAGTGAAACCACTGAGCTAAATCCTGGGCCACTCCATATTCAGTTTTTGCCACTATGTTTCCTCTTGTATGTGGCCCACTTTCATTCTGTAAGATGTACATCTTTTCCTACTTTTGCTGGGCCCAAACTTGCTCTGCAGAGCCTATTTCTTTTCATACTTTTAATAAAACTTTGCTATCATTTGTGCTTGTCTTCACCAATTTTTTTCATAGGACAGAAAGCACCTAGAAACCACCTCCAGAAGGAAACTCCAGCACCCCAAAGTCTGGTAACAGGGTTCCTAGAATACAGATCTTAGGGCAGCTCACTTCTCTGGTCTACATAACAGGAAAATAAAATTGTACATAAAGACTGGTGAGGTAGAGAGTCCTATACTAGACTGGTTTAACTATTTAAACTGCCTGGCCAGGAGTGGTGGTGCACACCTGTAATCACAGCACTCTGGAGGCTGAGGCAGGAAGATTGCTGTGAGTTCGAGACCACTCTGGACTACGCAGTGAGTTCCAGATCAGTCTCAACTACATAGTAAGATCCTGTCTCAAAAAAAAAAACCACAAACTGCCTATCTTGAGAAAGTCACTGAAACACTAGGTTTCAATTTACTTCATTTTTTTTTTTTTTTGATACCAGGGATTGAACTCAGCAAATGCAGGTGCTAGAACCACTGAACTAAATCCCCAGCCACTTCATCTTTTAAATGAGAATATCTTGTCTGCCTGAGGGCAGGGACCAGACCAATTTTTTTTTTTTTTTTTTTTTTTTTAACCAGGGATCGAACTCAACCCTTGTGCTTTCAAGGCAGGCACCAGAACCACTGAGCTAAATCCCCAGCCCCTGGATCAGAATCTTTTGATGGAAGAAATATTTTTGATATTATAAGGTAAGAAACAGTTGTGCCGTGGCACACACCTATAATCCTGATGAGGCAGTAGGATTGCCGTGGCTTTGCAAGCTGCATAGGCTACATACTGAGTTCAAGGCCAGCCTGAACTACATAGCAAGACCGTCTTAAAAAAACAAAGAAAAAGGGCGGGTGATTTAGCTCAGCAGTTCTGTGGCCTGCCTTGCAAGTGCAAGGACCCGAGTTCAATCCTCGGTACCAAAACAAAACAAAATTAAAAAAACAAGATCAAGATAAAAAAAAAAAAAGAAAAGAAACTAAAACTCCAGTGCTGCCAGAGATATGGCAAGTTAAGGAGAAAGAAGAATAGGAGTACACACTGGAGAATCAATCAGTTTGTAAATCTTTGTGTCTAAGAGACCATTTAGGTAGCATGCAAAAGTAAGTGTCTTGGGCCGGGGATTTAGCTAGGTGGTTCTGGCACGTGTCTCACAAGTGCAAGGACCCAACTTTGATCCCTGGTAAATGTCTTTAAAATTTTTAGTATAGCAAAATACCTGAATTATCCTAGATCGAATGCCTCTATCACATAATACTGCACACTCTTACTGTTAAGCTATTCAATAAATTATTGCTGAGTGATTTAACACTTTATATATTGAGCTAATTTTATGCTGCTGTCATAGCACAAAAATGAATCACTCCACATATTGTGTTCTTGAGATACCAGAAGATATATTATTGAGACCAGAAGATAAAGGGACAAAGGGCAAAGGCCTGAGCATACCAAATAAACAGAAAACTGAAAGCAAAGTGAGATAAGCTTCAAGTGAAGTTGCAGCTGCAAAAGACAAAAAACTGACAGGAAGCCTGACAAATAGCAGCAGTAGCAAACAGGGAAAAACTCAGTTTTACATGTCTCTGCCTCTTTGTCTGCCCTATACCACAGAGCTGTTCCCTTGGTGTCCTGTTGCCCTCTCTGTCGAGTGATAGCTTTTCTCTATTCTTTCTAATAAACCACACCCAGTCACTTCCCACTGCTTGCTGTGTCCCCTTGCCTCAATCTTCATCACCCTCAGGGCAAGAACTCAAACAGAGGGAGGAAGCTGGTTACATCCTTGATGCCCAATGTGGCCTCGTCTTCTGAACAGAGAAGTGAGGTGGAATATCTGGATCACATGTATTCTCTCTTTCTTTGTTCCTTTCCTTATAGAGAGCTAAGAAACAAAGCCTTGCCAGCCAGTTAAAAGCTCTTAGAGCAGCTGCCACTCTTGAAGCAGAAAGTGGTTAATCCTCTTGAAACCAGTGGGAATTTTAGCCAGAGAGGGAGCTGAATTCCTTTGCAGATACAGATCCACTCTGGTTGTGTGGAAAACTCAGCAACTACAAGACCATGACTGGGCCTATTCCCTGGTGGGTAATCAAAGGCCCTCAGTGGAAGCTGGGTCCTAAAAGCCTGTCTAGGTATCTAGCAGAGAGCTCTCTCCTTATCTGTTGTTCCATGTACTTTCTTCGGTGAGGTGAAGGTAAAATCTGTTGGGGTTTTTTTTTTTTGTACTGGGGATCGAACTCAGATCCTTGTGCTTGCAAGGCAGGTGGCAAAACCACTGAGCTAAATCCCCGCCCCCCCCTTTTAAATCTGTGTTCTTCAGGTACCCCTTTCCCAGGGTGACCTTAGATGACTCCCTAAGAACCCTTGCAAGCCTCCATTAAGAGCTGAGCTAAACTGGGCATGGTAGCGCATGCCTGTAATCCCAGCACTCGGGAGGCTGAGGCAGGAGGATCCCTGTAAATTTGAGACCAGACTGGGCTTACATAGTGAGTTCCAGGTCAGTCTCAAAAAAAAAAAGTTGAGCTACAGGTTTGGACTTTTCTCTTTCTGCTAGTATAATAGACCTCCCCCTTTGGATATGTCTTGATTTACTAGGCTGGGAACAGGTTAGGATCCTGATCTATATTTGGGGCTCCCTTGTCTCCTGGGACTCGGCCCCCCATTCCCTGACTTTCAGAGAGTCAGTATCTAACAACCCCCTGAATTCCCTGAGAGAAGTTTGCTAGGACAAAGGTCAAAGTTTAAGGGTGAGTTCCCCC